ATCACCTTGAGGGGACCGTTAATTGGACCAGAGAGTGTCCGTCATTCGTACGTTAGATAGTTTAACCTAGAGATTTGCACACATCTTGTAAAATCCCCATGTTTGTCATCGTACTCGTTTTCGTCCCAAATCTCTCGTACCTCGCTACTCAATTTAACGTTTTAGGGGGCGAAAGTTGGCCCCTTAAGTAAACCCATTTACCCGCATCTTCGGCCGCACGGAAAGCTACTGTACTGTACAGTAGCGAGGAGCCAAACTTGGGGGGGGGGTCCTGTACCAATACGCATCGTGCGGAAATGCGCAAAAATGATATTTTTCAGTAAGTATGATCGGTTAAAGACATCTTTACAGACTTATACTACAGCTAGTCTATGTTCCTTGTTACTCCGCTACTTGGCTCGTTGGTGGCATGAAGGTTGTAATGATGCGTTCGTTGTCTTGCGGGAATAGCGACACCGAAATCGTCTCTTTCTTTGTCATCAAAGGTAAAGCCAACGAATGTATCCTCATTCAGCTCATCGAGATCTCCTTCATCAGAATGATTACCCGTGTTATCTTCAGTTTCGACAGGCATCCTTGTAAACGTATTGTCGAAGTTTGCAGTAGCAGCATCCAAATTTATAGGATCGGTTCCCTCGCCAGGTGCTACATGCGGTTCAGGTGCTGTCATAGCTTTGCCATCAGAGTCAATCGATGGTGGGTTCCATCCCTCGCAAGGCCTTATTGGCGCTTCAACCCGTCGGCCATACAAGGCACGCCAACTAATACTACGGAAAAAATCGTGCTCCATGGCAGCACGAACACCAGTGACTCCAAGGCGCCGCCTTGGGTTGCGCTCCAACAAAGCTCCAACACATGCCGTAGCAGATTGACTGAAGTACGATGGCACGTCCAGTGGTGCACTCTTTAGTCGCCGAAATAGTTTTGCCCTGTCGGTTGTGTACCATGGAGGTAACCCCGTCATCATCTCATAGACGAGCATTCCTAGACCCCAGTAATCAACACAGAACCCATGACCCTGTTGAGCAAGAACTTCCGGGGCCATGTACTCTGGTGTACCACACATTGATGTCGCACCTTCACATGCATCTTTTATCCCCGCCTTTGCGAGGCCAAAATCTCCCAACTTGATGTGTCCATCTGCATCTAAAAGCACATTCTCTGGCTTCAAATCACGGTATATTATTCCACGCTTGTGCAGATGTCCTAAAGCTAACAGCAGTTCTGCTGCGTAGAATCTGGCTACCCGCTCTGGAAATCGTCTGAAACGTGAGAGGTGGAAGAAGAGTTCGCCGCCAGGACAGTAGTCTAAAACGAGATACAGTTTGTCTGGTGATTGAAAGGCGTAGTGAAGCTTCATGATGAACGGGTGATTAACGATGGACAAAACTTTCCGTTCCGTACGTGTCCGTTCAATCTGTCTACGCCGCACAAGATGCGATTTACGCAATATTTTCATTGCAAACAAAGCTCCCTTTTCCTTTCCCTGACGCTTCTGCACTAATACGACCTAAATACAAATTGTTAGCCCTGAAAACTTGAAGAACCAATCGTTCATGTCCTACCTTTCCAAAAGATCCTTTTCCTAGCACGCGCAGTAGCGGTAAGAACATTTGTACATTCGGCTTGTCTTGTGGTTGCCTCTGAATTGGTTGGGGTTCCCACGAATTGGAGCCTCCGCTACTTGTTGGCATGGGCCGTATGTCACTATCTGGTGTCGCTGTTACACAGTGTGCCTTCGACTGTGCTTCAGACCAAGGTGACCCAGCGACCACTGCAGCGCTTGGTGGCACAGCAGCTTGATCCAGCGGTGGATGCAGAGGCTGTTTTTGGTTTGTCTCAACATTTTCATCATCGTCGTCCGAGTCATCATCTTCGTCCCATTTCGTCGCCCAATCATTGATTCCTCCCCCTTTTGCTAGCTTTGCTTTGTCGGCTGCCTTTTGTATTGCGCTACTTATCGATAAGCTTTTCATGGAATTAATGATCGCAGCACCTCGCACAGATGGTCGGAAGTTCATCCCAGTTTTCTTGACTCTCGTCGGAGACTGATACGATCCTCCGCCATCTTGAGATACTACGGAAGAATTGTTTCTTTGCTGCGAAGAGCTGGGATTCCAGGCTTGTTGGTTTCCACTGTTGTGAGACTGACTGTGTTGTTGGAAATGATTTTGTTGATTCTGCCACACCTCATCGGGGTACAAGCTTTGTTGTGTACGATTCCCACCATCTCCTGCGGTAACATAAGAACTGCCTCCAGTTGACAAGCCGTTCGTGGTATTGCTCCCCATTACTCCCCCAGCAGCGTTCTGTTTAGATTTTTCACGTCGCAGGGCATTCATCATTCTTCCGCCGGAGCGTTGCTGATTCGTTGGGTTCGTTGGATTACTATAGGAAGGGGGCGCTCTTGCCTGGTATTCAAACTCTTCTTCAGCTTCATGCCCTTCGGGCACTGAGCCTTCGTTTCCCATTGAAGCTCTATGATCTTTATCACAAATAACAAATGACAATCCATGAGTTTGATGACCCAACACAAGGCTTGGTGCTGGTGCTGGCTTTCATTGCAGTAAACACTAAGTAAGCTCATTACAAGTCCGTCCACCAACCCAAGAAGCTAGCTACTGTTGAGCTGTTGTGGGTACCCGTATAGTACTTGAACAGCTGCAAAGAACAGTCAGAAAAATATTACCGGTACGAGTAGTACTGTATACATCGGAAGACAGACACATCACGCCGTTACCAAACACAGTGATACCTATTCGGCTTCGATTCGAAGATTTCTCTAATGATTTCCATCAGCGTTGAATAAAACCCATCAAAAGTGACGGCACAATACGTAATGAGTCACAGATTGGTTTCATCCTGTGTCCTCTATTGCCTAGGATGTTCAAGATCAATGGTATGAGAAGCTCGTGTCCCCTCTAAATAACCATCAATGGACTAGGGCTGTGGTTGTCCAGCCCGATGAAATTACTCATTCCCTAATTTCGCTACTTTCCTTGCTTATTGCTAACCCGCATATCGAAAAGCTTGTTCGCTATTATCAACATTCTGTTGGTTACAGCGCTGAAATCTTGAAATATTTTAGCCAAATAGTACATCAGAGAGGTCTTCCTGTCATGATCCAGTATCCACCAAAACTTCATTTCGAGAGCTCTAGTACTAATTTTGCTCTTGTCTCGCGTGACACGAAGCTATTATGATTTTTGGATAGTATCACAGTGGTGGTGCCTGGTGGACAATTATTCATTGGTAGATGATGGCTGTGCATAGTTCCATTTCATATTCGCCCAGGTGAGTCTGGTCATAACAATGGATTCGATCACATTATTATCAATACGCCAAACGCTGTGTTAGGCTCGGGACGTGAAACAGTGACACAGATTGAGATGACTGGACTCGAGACTCGTGTAGTTAACTCGTGTCAAAATATGGGATGTGGTAGCTCCGCTGGCGCGCATTTCGAAGAAACAATTACCATCGTTATTAGGAGGCAACTGTGGTTGAAATCGACAAATGAGGAAAGAGAGGTACAATGGCCTCATCAGGGACAACAAGCGTTGGCGATGCTTCAAAAAATGTGCGGCCCACTGAAGCTCAACTTCGATGGGCTCAGTTTCATCATAAACGACGTGCTCAAGGAGTGAAATTGTCCATTGTTAGGCTTTATCAGACACCTGAAGAAACAGAGGATGTTGTTGGTGCATACCCAGAAGATGGGAACAGCACCACGAGTATTTCCGAGGCTGAAATACAGCAACGCAGACCCAAGGTATCAAAAGGGCGCCGTGCCTGTTTGCGTGTATCAAGACGAAAATATAGACAACGAGCCCTAGAGATCGAAAACGAGGGTTTTCGACGGCGACAAGGGGTGGATACATTTAGTGACAGTGAAGACGAAGATGACGAATTGAACGACATTTTCATGACCAAAAGAAGGCGACAACGAAGGCGGAAGGGAAAAGACATCGAACGTTTGAAGCGCTTTGAGGATGCATGTCATGCGATGATGATGAATCTAGCGCAACGAGAAGAGCAAGTTATTGCAATTCCAACAAAACGCTGGACTAGGACTGCTGACCATATTGCAGCATCTACGATGCTCGTGGAGGAATATTTGGATCCTAAATGGGGGATTCGTCGACGTAATATGGACACATCGAAAGATGGAGATGAGAACCAGTTCAACCTTCAACACAAGGCAATGACACCACTGGACAGAGGTGCCTCATGGTTGATACATTTGCCAGACGTCATCCCTTCATCGCGGGATAATCCATCAAATTACCTCTCCGTTAATATGCAATCTGCCTTGACTGCGGGTACCATTGTTAGTGACGGAATGTCAGAAGGAGGACAAAGTGTTTCGACTTTGGCTATGAAGGCACCAGGACAACAGAAATTCAATCAACTCGTGGCACTGGCCCAGCGACAACTGATTGACCAACAATATAATTATTTGAAGGATAGTCCGAGAGCTGATCCTGGCTATGAACCTTCGCGAAAAGACGAATTGACGAATCCCCGTATTTATGCAAGTACACATGGTCCAGAGGGGGAGGAGCAACCAATCCAATCCACGCCAACTAAATCGTACATGCCAAGGATGCGATTGCGTGATTTTATTTTAGATACAGAGAAAAGTGAGAACGCATACAGTAAAGATGAACTAGATCCTGAAGAATTGGCGGCCTTGAATCAAATCCCGAAAGATAGGTACCTCCAAGCTCTCCGAATTAGCAAGGGTGGTGATAGTAAATTGGCAAGAGTAGCACCGTTTCGAAAACAGGTAATAGAGCTACACGCGACAATGTCGATGGACACTACATCCGTTATGTACGGTGCAGGTGCGGCAGCATCGAAATCAAAGCTGCAGCCGGAGGAGTTAGCTATCATGGAATCCATAGTTTGCAGTCGCCTTCGAGATTTGGAAATAGAACCCTACGAGACTAGGACTCGTTATCTGGATATCGCAGATGGAATTGTACAGGAGGTGGAGGCAGAAGAAGAAGAAGTTCAAAACTCTCGGCTGAGGCACCTTTTCGGTTCAATGAAGCTGTGTCCAAGCGGTTCGCAGAAGGATGGTTCGGGACTTGGAAAAGTATTGGCTCTACAGCAGATAATCAGTTCTCGTATCAAGGATTTTGAAGGACAGGATAATAACGAGGCATGGACAAGATATTCTCGAGCAAAGGCAGTCGCGGTGGCATCCGATTCAAACATTATGCGTTTCACTGGATTGCACAACAGGACAAAACACCGATCATCTTCGGCTACAATTCGAAAGACGCGATACAAAAACTTGTATCATGCAGAACGAGACATTCAGCCAGAAGCAGAACGAGACATTCAGCCAGAAGAGCTGATAGTCATGTGTCAGGGCATAAGCTTGTACCTCGAACGAGAGCTTCAAGGTAAAGAAAAGGCAAAGATAAAGAGTAGCTTCCGAAGAACTGTTGGAATGACTGGAACTTTGAAAGGTACCAAGGGCAGAGATGAAACAAACAGCATGCGAGAAATGTACAACATATTTGAAGAGCAAGCCGATGGTCACCTATTCGAAGATGATGGGTTTCAGTCGGATGAAGTATTCATACTTCGCAATACGATTCGTGCCCGCATCCAGGAAATAGAAAACGGCGGTAGCATCAGTGAGAAGAATAGACTGACGAGAGCCAAATTAATTGGACAAATATTCGAGGCAGGTAAGCACGAGAGGCGAACTGGATGGATAAGAGAAATGATAAAAGTGCTAGAATCCGAGGACAAACTGATTCGGTACGGCAAAGACCTCTCGCTATCGAGCTCAGGAAAATCCTCCTCCGATATCAGGCGTCTCTCTGAGCCAATCAATAAGGTACCTACTCATCCAGAAAGAGAGCCCCGCTTTTCCGAGCCAAGTGGACCCCAGTATTCAAATGAACAAGGTCAGCAAACTTCTGCTCTTGATACAAAGTTACAGGGTATTTGGAACCGAGGTAAAAATAGCCTGAGCGGTATTTCTGCGACGCTGAGCCATGAATCAGCTTCTGGCTCGCTTGCAAAACCGATAAGAGATACTGTATTAAGCGTTTCTGAAAAAGTCAATCGTTTGCTTCAGAACTCAACTGAACCAGACCAGCAACAGAATCCAGGCCATGATTCATGTTTACGAAACGAATCATTGAGTGCCTCTGACAGAATCGATCTTTACCTCGATCATTTGATGGCAGCGCCGAATTTGGGAACTGTAATTGGAGAAAATCAGACGACAGCGAAGTCAGAAAACGGTTCAGATCAATTCGAGAAGTTGCTTCGAAACTTTCAGAATGAGGCAGAGTGTGGTGCCACGCAAGAACCAGACGCGTTAGGTGATTCATTGGGGAACTCATTTTGGCATTCCAGTGATAGTGCCAATGCATTAGATAGTGAAACGACGAAGAAGCGGGAAACATGTTTCGAGCTTGGAAACAAATCTATTGCTCCTCGACGACGCAATGACGGCGATTCTGATGAAGCTGAAGTACAGCCGCAACCTCCTCACCGGACGAAAGCTGAACAAGAAATATTTGATGCGATGGAGGCAACACTTCCGAAACAGGAAAAAGTAAAAGAGTATGCTCCAGACGAGCTTGATACAGATTTTCTCGCCGCTTATAGGAAAAAACGGGAGTCTACAATTTCAGTAGATGACGCTTCATCTGCATCTTCCTACAAGGTACTTCCGTCTGGATTTCGTGAAGTTGTTAAGCAGTACTCGCCTTCAAGGGAGATTCGTGGATTTTCTTCGTCAAGAGCAAAGCACACGGGCTCTAGCCAGTCGGAGAAAACAAGAGAGATATCAAAGCTATCCGAAGAGAATGTTAGAGAGTTTGCCAAGAATTCTTCCCCTAGGGAAACATTCAACCCCGGGGTGATCGATTCTGATGAGGTTTTAAGCGATGCTGGTCGTCGTATTAATCCATCTTTACTCTCCAGTCTCATGCTGTCTCCTGATTTGTTGACCAAGAGACATCAACAAGCAGTTCGAGCGATTGAGCGCAGTCAGTGGGATGACGTCAACTACTTGATCAATGCAAACCCCTGGCTGGCAGAAATGAGTGAATTGAGAACGAAACAGTACCTATTACACAAAATTGCATTCTTTGGTGCAGGGCACACCCCGGCGCCATTTGAGCTTTGCGAGCTCTTGATTGACAAGTTCCCAGCTGCTGTTCACAAGTTCGATGAAGACGGAAATGTACCACTCCATCTGGCTGCTGCTGCAGGGCACATGAAAATGATCAGCATGCTTGGGGAAAAGTTCGAAAGCGGTGCTTCAATACGAAACGAAGATGGCATGCTTCCGGTTCACTTTGCGCTTGCCTCGTATGGAAAACTTGGTTTTGCAGCGACCCCCCGTGCAAGTGTTCAGAATGGCGAAAGCGCGGAACCGATTCAAGTTATGCAGAAAGTGTTGAGTTTTTTCCCTCAAGCTGTTGCTATATCCGATAATGATGGCAATCTACCATTACACATTGCAGTTCACTGTCTCGAGGGTCAATTGGCAATCGATGCTATTTTGCTTTTGCTCGATGAGGCAGAAAGACAGCTGAAGGATCCTTACGGCGCCCGATTTTATAACAAGAAAAGGATTGAAGAAATTCGTGATGATGGAGTACTAGATGCGTTTTCAAGCAATGATCAAGAGGATTTGGACACAGACTTGCATTGCAGCATGGTGCGAAACAATGACAGTGAATGCCCATTGCTACTGGCTATCCATGCAAGAAAGGGCTGGCAAATCATAGATGCTCTTGTTGCAGGCCCAGGGGGTCAGGAAGCTGCTTTGCACCAAGACTCCGACAATTGCAATGCACTTCATCTCCTCGTTGGCGAGTACCAGGATCCTTCTGCAGCTCTTTCGATTTTAAAATCTGTTCCAGAGACTACGACCGTGCGAAATAGCGCAGGGGTGTTGCCAATCGAGGTACGTTTAGAAATGAAACCAGTGCTTTCTTGAGTTTAAACCATTGATGTGAACTGTTGCTTCCGTAGGTGGCTTGTATGCAACTGATGCCAGATGAGGTCATCCTCGCAATCGCATTCGCTGACTTGCATCTCGATCTTATCGGGGATGATGCGACAAAAAATAGGGAAAACTTTGGTGGGAGCTGGTGGTTCCTAACTTGTGAATGCGATGATCACTACGTCGATATTGTGCGTAATCTTGTCTCAATGTGCTCGTTTGAACAAGTAAGAATGCTTTGTGTTATGGAGGGAGGTCCAAGTCAAAACAAGGGGACTGTCATCTCGCGTGCAACACCAAAGTGCCGCGAAGTTCTCGCACGAGCGACACGTTTCCTAGGAAGGTTCGAATTTGTAGGCAAGACTCCGCTCTATTCTGATGTTGACAAAAGAATCAAAGCATTTGATGCTTTCGATTTCGGAGGTGGGAGCCACTCAAGAGACGAAGGTCGTCGTGTTGTGCTAAAAAGCTATTCCTTGAGAAATCTGTTCTTGGCTGAGGTGAGCTCTTTCTTCTACCTGAACAAAATAAACTTGGTAAAATTGCTAACACGTCTTCAGACTGAAATTCTACTTGCATATGAGCTCGATGAAAGCAAAGTAGAAGAAGTGCTCACATTCTCTGTTCGGGAGGGTGGAAATAGCTTATCAGAGCAATCCTGGGTGTCGATCGAGTCCCCAGAGGCAACGCTAAAGGATGTTGCGGACAGCATGATGAGAAAAGGAGGATACTGGAATCAGCCAGATTTGCGAACCAAATATTCGACGAAAGTATGTCTTGTACTACGTCTTATCGCGAAATCGCTATGGCACTTGCACACCAATGGGGTGGTTCACGGGGATTTGAGTCTTCAAAGCTGTGGGTTGTTTGAACACGGATGGAAACTCCTTGGCCGAATGGAAGTACAACCAATAGGCCAAGCTTTCGACACAGCGCGATTTCAACATTCTTTTCCACCAGAGGCACTGCAATCTAGTGACCTAGAGATCAATGTCTACGATACTGATGTCCCGCCTGTTTCGTTCAAGCAGTCAATCGTTTCCGACCCGTCTATCGATATTTGGGCTTTCGGGAAGATCGCTTATGAGGCAATACTGGGAAAGCCTCTCGTCGCATACGATGCAAATCTTCCGGCAAATGATGTTGTGGCACTTCTCGAGGTAATGGAGTGGAACGAAGATTGTCTGAAGGATGTATTTCACGAACTATTGGGGTCTGGTGGAATAGCGGAAAGTGGTGCTGAGCTCTTCACATCATGTTTGTTTCCTCGACCAGAAGATAGGCCTGGAAGTATAGGTGAAATCTTATCCCATCCGTTTTGGCAACACAACATTAAGCAAAGAAACAAGGCAAGGGGACCACGCCGCCGAAGAAACACAGATTCCATCAGTGCATTCACCGAAGCTTCGAAATCTTTGTTCACCGAGGTGTCTGACTAGCAGCAGCACCGAAAACCCAGACACCACTGTATCAATATACTTAAAAACCTAATGCAACAGAAAAAGGGGCAGATATCTGTAGCTTTTCATGTTAGATAGTGCTGTTAGTAACCGTTTTTAGATTCGTGGAGTTGAATGAAGGGCCTAACCACCCACGATTTTCTCCGAACAGAAGCACGAATAGATCTTTTAAAAAAGGTTGAAGCACGGACCCTTCCCCCCCTTAGCAAAGGTTCCGCTTTGGAGTTCCTCATTCGGACAGAGGGTTTCTTGTCAGCCGAGCTACCGAGGGTGATTTTTTCAGTGCGATCACACGGAATTCTTTGTCGTTCATTCATTCGGTTTTTGCGGGCTATCTTCAGAAGCGATCCTTACCGTGATGTGAAAAGATTGGACCGCCTTTGCACAAAGTCTTCTCAAGCAAGGTACGATTCAGTTTCCTTCTTGAATCATAATCTCTCGTTCCCACAATTATAAGATCTGAAAGCAAAGTGAACATGTCTTGCGATATCGGATTATACGGATTGGCCGTCATGGGCCAAAACTTTGCCCTGAACATGGCCTCGCATGGATTCAAGGTTTGTGTTTGCAATCGATCTCCTGCAAAGATTGAAACAACCGTTGCTCGAGCGAAGGCTGAAGGAGATTTACCATTGATTGGTAGTGATGGGCCAGAGGACTTCTGTTCGAAGCTCTCAAAGCCGCGAAAGATTGTTATCCTCGTACAAGCAGGCAAACCAGTCGATTCTACCATTGCGACCCTGTCGCAGTTCCTGGAATCAGGAGATGTAATCATCGATGGCGGAAACGAATGGTACCCGAATACCATTCGACGCTACGAAGAACTTCAACCGAAGGGAATCCAGTTCATCGGGATGGGGATCTCTGGTGGCGAAGAAGGAGCCAGAAACGGGCCGTCGCTGATGCCCGGAGGTCCAAAGACTGCATACGATTTGATTGAGCCTATCATTAAGAAGTGTGCTGCACAGGTCGGCGACGAGGCCTGTACTGGCTATTGTGGACCTATCGGTGCGGGTAACTATGTGAAGATGGTCCACAATGGGATCGAATATGGAGACATGCAGCTCATCAGTGAAGTCTATGACGTACTTAAGGTAAGGTTGCCGGAGCTCCAAATCATCTTTCTTCTTCCATGAATCTGATTCAAGTTTTGTCACACTTTTCTGCAGAATATCGTTGGAATGGGCAATGACGAAATTGGCGATCTATTTGAAGAATGGAACAAAGGCGAACTGAACTCCTATTTGATTGAAATCACTGCCCAGATTTTCAAAAAGAAAGACGAGTTGACAGGAGAGGGACACGTTTTGGACTACATTATGGACAAAACAGGAATGAAGGGAACAGGACGGTGGACTGTCCAGGAGGCAGCTGAGCAATCAGTTGCGGCTCCAACCATCGCCGCCGCCCTCGACACCCGTTACATTTCGGGACGAAAAGATGAGCGACTAGCTGCAGAAGCTATCCTTGAAGGGCCAACGGATAAACCTGTCGTTGATAAAGCTCAGATCGTCAAGGATCTTCAGGCGGCCCTCTACTGCTCAAAGATTGTTTCGTATGCCCAAGGCTTGGGAATTATCAAGGCTGCCTCTGATAAGATGGAATGGAACGTTGATTTGGCTCTTTGTGCTCGCATGTGGAGAGGTGGCTGTATCATTCGGGCCGGTTTGCTAAAGGGAATCCAAGAAGCCGTCGCACGCAACAATGAGTTGGCGAATCTCATGGTAGATCCTGGCTTCGCTGCCGACTTGAACTCACGTCATATGGCCTGGCGTCGCATTGTTAGCCTTGGCATTGCCAGTGGTGTCGCTCTTCCTTCTATGTCTGCGTCATTGAACTACTACGACCAGTACCGACGTGGAAGTCTTCCTGCTAGTCTAGTCCAGGCCCAACGGGACTTCTTTGGTGGCCACACCTATCAGCGTGTTGATCGTGAAGGCACTTTTCATACTCTTTGGGGTGACGCTCACAAAGACCTTGGTGATCTTGCCGGGCGCACTGCTGGAGAGGTTTAGTCTCCCACGAGAGTTATCATATCCCTTCTCTGTGCTTTGGTGACATCTTCTTCAGCAAAGAATAATGTTTCTAGTTTATTTGTATGCCTGATAGTCAGCGTCTTATAATAACCGTCCTTGAGAGTGTTTGCTTACAATCAGCGTCCCTTTGTCCTTGGATTGCTCTTTACCATATAATCTCCTTTCACATATTCTCCGTTCTCGTTTTCCCAGACCTCACACTCCTCACTGAACTCATTCATTTCACAAGGATTAATGGCTCCATATTGTTGCTGTGATGTGCAAAATTGTATTTGTTGGTGGTTAAATAGGCAAGACAATCAAGCGTTTACGGGTGACTTACGCCTCCTGGAAAACTGACGACTCGAAGACTGTCAAATTGAAGCGGCGCGATCCCATTGGGGTAAAGACTTGTGTCCTTCGACGAACGATTTCGAGGTAAGTAGAATATGAAGTGAGTAGAATATGCCTGTCAGACTAACACAGGCACCAAGGACTCACCATCTCCCTCGGCACTGCCGCAATGAATTCAAATGCAATCTTTTTGTCTGTTTTCTTGATTTCTGGAACGATAGCAAACTGACCAGCATCTGTTGAAAGATCAGGATTGTTGGCCAAGACGCTTTCCCCTGTTGCCTTGTCAGTTACCTAGAATGAAACGAAGGACGGGCGTGAGATACCGAAAAGCTGGTCGCAACAGGTACCAGCAGGCCACGGGACTTACGAATCCATATACTCCAACCTTTTCAATATCCTTCTCCGGAATACTTTCGAGCGAAACTTCCACCGTAACGCACATTGGACGCATCCCCTTCATCGCTTTTTCTCCAGGTATAGGCTTGTCCTTTGGGCAGGGAACCGCAGAATATTCGGGATTCAGCAGGTCAATGCGAATGGGACCAATTGCTTGTGTCTCCTGAGGTTTCATGCTTCCGACAGCAATCGTTCCACACACAGTGACCACTCCGGAAAGCCAATCTCGGCGGGTCGCACTCAATATTGTTGCCTGTATTTGTTGCGTTTGCAAGATTTGAAATGCTGAAGTATGGATTGAGCACAAGAGGGCAAAGAGAAAAGGTAACCGCATTGTAAATGTTGGTCGTCTTGAACTTGATTCTGAGCTGGGGCACAAAATGATGGGTTTTTATTTTATGCTGGGACACGCCTCGGATCACTCTCTAGCCATCGTCTTGCGGTCAACCCACCCTGTCTGTCGGTCGCACGTAAACGAGCGAAGGGTCTCCTTCGCTCGCTCACGTGCGACAGACAGACGTAACGGACGACCCATAGACGATGGCTAGAGAGTGCGCCTCGGATTGTACAACCAAAGTGTGACGGGAGCCAGACAGACTTTTCCTCCTCCCTCAGCACGGAGACATCGAATTCAAGCTCCACCTTGTTCCATCGAGTTCCTCCATCATTTACGGGTACATAGAATTATTTAGGGGGCAAAACATTGTTTTATTTCTCCAAAACAGTGGAGTTATAATTAACAACAAGTCTTTTGTCGTAAATTTTGTCATAAATTTTGTTGTAAAATATTTACGACACAAGCCACATAACGACAACGATTCCGTTATCACTTCCGTATCAATTGACAAGGTAGATACTTGGCGATCTCTTCAAACGATCCTATCGCAGGAGTAGATTGACAATCATTCTGAGGATCTCATAAAACAACTTTGGACAACAAACACAAAGCACCCTACCAGCAAACCAAAGAAAGCAAACGAGCACCATGGGCCCAGCCACTCCCACTACCCCTACCTCCACCTCCATCATCACCACCACATCTACCACCACCACTCCAAGTTGTAACTAGTGTAGGAAAGTGTGGGACCGCTAGAAACTGAGATATCACCAGTCCTAGTCAAACCCTAGCCCTCCTTTTCTTCATGACAGTAGCGCAGCAGCATCCATACCTTTAGATGGTCCAGTCATCTTCATTTCTTCAATGCACCAAATCTCCAACCTGTTAAAGCGAGGACTTGGCACGACACAATGAAGCTTTTATGCTACATACTGTTTGTCACTCTGCGCAATGAAAGTTGAGGAACAGATACGTAAAAAGCTCAGTATGCAGAAGCGGATGGAGGAACCTGTCTCTGAGGAGATTGAAAGTGCCACTAGCTAGTACTGATGGAAAGTTTGTCAAGTGGGTTGTAGCAATGTGATATTGTTGCTGTCCTGGTTGCATTGCTTGTCTTGTCCTTCCTTTCCTCATGGCGGTAGCAGCAGCAGTAGTAGCATCCATACCTGTAGATGGTCCAGTCATCTTCATTGCTTCAATGCACCAAATCTCCAACCTGTTAAAGCGAGGACTTGGCATGACTCAATGAAGCTTTTATGCTACATACTGTTTGTCACTCTGCGCAATGAAAGTTGAGGAACAGATATGTAAAATGCTCAGTATGCAGAAGCGGATGAAGGAACCTGTCTCTGAGGAATTGGAAGTGCCACTAGCTAGTACTGATGAAAGGAGAAGGAAGATTCAGTTTGTTCACGGGTTGGGTTGGAACAACAAGAACAAAAGGACAGCAACAGTGCGTTCTGGTGGTGATGTTTTTTATGTCATGATGTGTGATGTGTGTATTTTGTCTTGGCTGTTTCTGCGAGCAGTATTTCTGCGAGCAAGCCGGGTGTAGTCGTTGTGTTGGAGGTGGAGGTCAGACTGACCGTGCCGGTGTCTTTTGGTAAATATAATGTGCTTGAATATTGTTTTTTGACCCTGAAATAGTTAGGATCCCCTTAAATGATGGGATTTCAAAGGAACATTGTTGAGCTGGAATTTGATGACCCTGTTCTGCAGGGGTGCAAAAATTCGTGCCCTGTCCCATCCGAAATGGGTTTCACACCAATCCGAGGTATCCCAGTATCTCCAATCCAACCAAGAAGATGAGGAACGTTGCAAAATACAGTACCCAATTCACGATCTCCATTTGGCTCACGATTACCGGTACCTTGTTCATGTATGTATTCATAGGCTTTGATGACCATACCTATTTCTAAGATTTGTCAGAAAACGAAAGATTCAAGATGATGTTCTCTAATTTCCTCCAGCTTAGTACTAACCTGTAATAGTTTTGAAAGGAAGATGGAAAGCACTCATCACATTGCACAGCAAGCAAATGATACAGTAGGCTTGGGCAACAAGAACAAGGCAAATATATAACAGAAACTACTTCAAATGATATAGGAAGCTACTACTACCAACAAATGAATGGTTGGAATCTAAACTTTGAGTCTGTACGCCGTAGCGATTTCACAAACGCCCATGATTCTTCAACATCAAACCTCATCGACATCGAGATGTTGGAGGCAGCTTACAAAAAAGCTTAGAGGGCGAAAAATTGAGTCTGTACGCCGTAGCGATTTCACAAACGCCCATGATTCTTCAACATCAAACCTCATCGACATCAGGCAGCTCACAAAAAAGCTCAGAGGGCGAAAAATTGAGTCTGTACGCCGTAGCGATTTCACAAACGCCCATGATTCTTCTTCAACATCAAACCTCATCGACATCGAGATTTGGAATGCCTTCGGAAGAGGAGTTGGAGGCAGCTCACAAAAAAGCTTTGAAAAGCTTAGAGGGCGAAAAACGGTCTGCAATTAAAAAAGCAAAAGGAACAAAGGGCAAGAAAGCGAAGCAAGCGATTGCAGCTGTTGAAGAAGAATATGCATCGCGTCTCAGGGATATGCAACAAGAGCATGAACAGAAATTGAAATCATTAGGGGCATTGATCGAATCGCCTCCAAACCAGAAGAAGGAAGGTGTCGTTGCTTCGGAACTTGACGATACCACTAAGGAGCTATCAGAAAAGGAGAAGAAGCAGCTCAAGGCTCGCAAGAAAAAAGAAAGGCAGAAAGAGCGGGAAATCGAGCGCCAAGCAGCTCTGGATAGCGAAATCGCTAATGCTGGCCCTAGCTTGCGCGATGTTGAGCTTGAACAGATAGAGATCACTCTCACGCCACTTGATTTGTGCATGAAGGAAGTGGAAGCCGATGGGCACTGCTTGTATCGAGCAATTGGCGCTCAGATGGGAACAGACTATCAAGAAATCCGTAAGTCTTGCCGCTGTTGCGAGTGAGCATGCAATAGATGTTGTCACTCTTACTCGGCTTATCTGTGTCCCCAAAAATTGTCCACAGGTGGGATTTGCGCCGACGCCCTGAGAGATAATGAACCTGAGTTTTCTCCATTTTGTGAGCTAACCGATGCAGTATCTTCATTCGATTCGTATGTAAGCCAAGTACGAAATAGCGCAGAATGGGGTGGACATCTTGAACTTAGAGCTTTATCTCTGGCGCTAGAACGACCTATTCATGTGTTCTCTGTACAATCTGGAACGAAACCACTCGAAATTGACGGTGGGAGCGGGAAGGGCAAAGAACCTCTACTACTGTCCTACCATTTGCACTATTACGCTCTTGGTGAGCACTACAATCTCGTTGTCTCTCGATAACACCTGCAACAGCCCCTAACTGCAAGCAGAGAGAAGATTGCTATGGTTTCACTGCTTTAGATATAATAATATATTTCTAATTCAACCCACTGTCATAACGCTCCTTCTATCCAAACCATCCATTCCGTCGGGCGAGAAGATGCCATGTTCTCGACCTCAGACTAAAACTTTTGAGGTGGAAGCTTTTCTTTGCGTTCTTGCGTCTCATTGAAGTGCCGACGATCAGGCTTCCAACGACTCGCAGAAGCAGGTTCAAATTCATATAGTGATATTTCTCCATGCAATGATTTAACAGAACATCCGCCAGTCACGGCGAAATTTTTAATAAATGACCATTTTCATCATAACAACCAATCAGACGTCTTCCTATGACCCTTTGGGCCCACTGTATAGGGTCAATTGCTTGGTATGTACCTAGGTTCGATCAGTGGCACAAGAATAGGCTATTGGTAGCACTTAGATGCTAAAAAGTGACTTTTGTGCCATTTTGTTTCGTCTTATTAGAGGACGGCAATGAGGATTGGTGAGCTACAAACCTGCGGCTAGCTCAAAAGTGTCCTATTGGTGATATAGATGGGCAGTGGGGACTTTCACACTAGGCTAGAGGGGCATGCCAACTCGAACAGATGCGGTGTATTTTCAATGAAATGTTGATTCTGCATCCAACACAAAACACCTCCATCTAGTATTGCAAGTGGAATGATAGTTATCAACGATTATAAGTTTGTCCTCTAATAGTTAGTAGCACCGATGGTAGTGTTGCTGAAGGGATTGTACAAATACAAGGTCTGATCATCTCCATTATGCAAACTTTCCGGCCAGAAGGTATTCCACACCATTGAAAGGCCGACTATCAGGCTTCCAACGACTCGCAGAAGCAGGTTCAAATCCGTATAGTGATATTTCTCGATGCAATGATTTAAAGGTCTGATCATCTCCATTATGCAAACTTTCAGGCCAAAAAGTGTTAGGGTTGGGGTTAGGGCTAAAAGTAAACAAATTCTCAAATGCGACGCATGCTTAAATCTATGAATGAGGCCTCAAAAATTAATTGCGTCTTGTGACAAATGAGCAACACTTGCAATACGCTATCTGTCGTTCACGAGACAATCTCAAGACATTAGATCTCGGCCCCTCTTGAGGTACATAGCACAGCATGTCATCCTAGGTCTCTACAGCGAGCCAGCTAACAAGAACTCGCGTCAAGAGAACAGTGATACTTTGGTGATTTTTTACCAAGAAGGAACTTGGTGAGAAGCAACTTGGTGAGAAGGATTGGGGTTTCCGAAGCGCAAAATATATGATCACTTAATAGGATGCCAGCCAGCATGAAGCTGAAAACTTGAAGCACTAGGTTCTATTGGCATATGGCACCTCGGTTAAAATTTAAATTAAAGCATTTGTAAACGAAACAAATGCGACTTCATGTCATTCTCGAGTGGCAATTTTCCGGAACATCCCAATCACATGCTACCACCAATTGGTGGCATTTATTGCATTTGATGGCGGTTCCACCGGGTTGGAGGGGAGCAGTCGGGTTGAACTGCGTTTTCCTTTTTCCCCGCTATATAGTAGCTGTCTTTAGCTCCTATCATCTTGGCTGTAACAGAATCCAGCGACCAATGAAGTCATGCAGTCTATGGGAGGACCGAAGGGTCCCAAAAAGGTTATCTGATGGTTTGCTGAGATGACAATGGCCAATTCTTGTATTGCCTTCTGGTTCTTTGGTGCTTTTGTTCTGCGAAGGAAACCTTACAATGGCGGCTTGATCAAACTTGGTAAATCAAAGATAGTTACAAAAATGATCGTTACTATCGGTACGCTCGTACGGTAATTTACTTTAGATTTTAATGGTCCAAGTTTTCGACAGAAAATTTCCTGATATGTCCCACGACTTGGTGGTGGCTGGTAGTTTAGCCATGTCCGAGAAAAAAATCAGGCGAATTTTTAGCAAGAACGAGATATCATGGTGTGATGAGCCGCGGCAACCGATAGTTTTCAATAGCAGCGTTGATGTCTCCCGAGAGCACAGATATATTTATGCACTGGTGATACGGTTAAATGTTGCGCATTTTTGCCCACCACGAGGGGTCCGCTATGCCTGAGGCCAACAATACAAGAATATCCAGTACTGGTACCTGGGAAAAGAAGACATACAGTGAAGTGCCGTGAAGGCAAAGAACAAATATACACTGTACCGGTAGTTAACAGAGTCGAGCATCAAAGTGGGTCGATTGAAAGATGCGACAAGAAAATATTAACGAAATAAATAGCGTAATTGTTGACACCCGAACACCAAACCTCACCATACATCTCAGTTTTCACGTACCAGGTAAACACCACAAATTAGCAAGCAAAGCTGCCCCGGGAAAAGAAGAGGAGTCCTTTGCAGGTGAAATTGGAGTCTTTGCTACTACTATGTTTTTCGCAACCAGGTAGGGTATACTTGTCCAGTACCCCCATAATAAGAGGCAGGTATTCCATAGAATAGGTGATGAATATTTGAAAATCGTCGTATTTTCATACTACCCCTACATGTATAGTACCGTGGTACGGTGACGGCACCTTTCTGCCAAAGATCGAAGAACAGACGAATAATATTTGATTTCAAAAAATAGAGCGGCTAGGCGACCCGGATATGGCTGTAGCAGAGGCATATTTCGAACCGCTTTTTACGGGAGCTACAGTAGAGTTTCAAGTTTAGCATGTATTGTATCATAGTGCGTGTCATCATTGTTTCGATCACGAGCCTCCAACAAGCAACAAGAGCAATGGAGCAGGACAGCACAGGACACTAGCCACAACAGACGCTAAATAACCATGATGCAAATCTACATTGGTGCTCTTGATCTGAGTAGGTGCCGATTATCTTGTTACTGCACTGCTTAACGGTCCGTCCGCCGCTCAACAGAACTAATTTGTCGGAAGGCTGCTGATCCAAGATTTTAAAATCCATATAGACCTACAATCAAAATTTTCTGCATGTAGCGCAAAATAATAGATCCTTTGGATAGCAATCAAATGGAGTAACATTGTGCTAAAGCGGTTCACTAGAGCATAGCAGAGAGGTGCTCACCCAATAGGATGAAAGCCAAGGACCTAAGCTAAGACAATTTGTATGGAGGAAATTTTGATTTTAGGTCTCTATGGTTTTGGATCATCAGTTGTTCCACCTACAGATGTCCTGTTGAGCGGCGGACAGACCGTTAAACAAGATTCGGAGCGTTTGCACTCAATACAGCAGCAAAGAAGACAAGCAGGTATCGATAAATTCTTTGTTACCTGCTTGTCGTTACCTGCTTGATACAGTCTTTGAAGAACAAGCGACTTGAGCCAACAAACCAGCAACAACATTATGAATTTGGCAAGAAGAATGCAACAATCCACATTGTTTGAAAGCTGATAGAGCGGAGTGTGATTGATCTTGCTACTGTACTGCATAAATGAGATTCATAATGTTTCTAACTTGCCTATTCTATGGTCAAAGCATAGTTTGCATTCACTACTGCAGCAAACAAGACATGAAAGGTATCTATAAATGCAAGAATCCTTGCACCTGCGCTGCTAAAATTGAGATTTGGAATATTTCTGACTTGCCCATTCAACTGATGCAGTCAAATCATAGTTCAATACAGCAGCAAGCAAGACAAGAAAGGTATCAAGGCTGTTATTCTGCTGTAAGTACTTTGTTCAAATCACATTGAATGGGAAGACTACTAATCCTGTTAGATGAGATTTGGAATATTTATAAGTTGCCTATTCTACGGTCAAAGAACTATTCAACCAATAAACTGGTCGCACATATCAATCCTTTTGTTCACGATTGACTTGTGAACGCACTCTCCACATCCTGGGTTGCATAAGTACCATTTTGGTATCAAACTTAACTATTTAACGTTGTCCGCCGCTCAAGAAGCCCATTTCATACTATTTTGGCGGGAGACCCATGTTCTAAAACCTTTTGATCGGATGAGTCCTAGCTAGCTCCAATTGCTCCAATTGCTGTATTCTCTTTCCAAGGTGCCAACTACAGTATGGGAGAGAGAATTGGTTAGGTACAAGTATTATATTGAGAAAGATAGAAGATGTACTGGATGAGAATCATGAAGTTTATGGTGCATGTTAGGCTGGATCATGTTCCACGGCTTGGATCATGCTATAGCTGCACCCAATCAAAGATTCGTGGATCTCCGGTTTTTATGAAACAATTGGAGAGATGGAGATTTGATTCTTGGGCTTGAGCTCTTCATCCATTTTGTCGAATCCAACAAGAATAGTCGGACTTGTCGTCCATGGACAAAACGTCGTCGGACACCTTCGTCCATTGACGAAAGGTTCACCAATTGTTCGGAAGGACACATACGCCGAGTGGTTTTGAGAAAATAATCCTGCCACGGCAAAATGGTCAATTTTTTTTAGAGATTGTGATATTCTATTTTCCATCATGTTGTCCGAGCGACATCCCCCAAAACTGACTCGGCGCGTCTGGGTCCAGTTATAGCAAGGATAAGGTTACAGGCCGGTTAGGAGTCGTACATCTCGTTTCATAATTGGTGGCTAGATATTGTCCTAGCCCACGCAGGCTTTCCGGGTTCCGATCCGGGTGAGACACAGATTCGGGCCTCCAAGAGTAGAACTCGAAGAGTT